GTTTGGTTGATATATGCTAGTATATATTAGGACACTGAGCTACAAAATCTGATAGAAGGAAACTGAAGATTTTTGGTAGGATTCAATTAGAAACTGTATGCAAAAATGGTTGGAAATTATTCTGAATGCGTATCAGAATATCATTTAGTTAATTGTATATTGTCAAAGAATAGGACAGCAGGACATATAAAAGAGAGTTTCCTTCTTACAAAATAAATACTAAATAGAGACCTGATGGTAGCATATAGTGTTTATGATTATTTCTCCTTCAGTCGATAAGTGACTATATATATTCAACATGAAAGTGATGAGCTTCAAAGTTTAAAAAATTAAACTGGTTATCTTTCATCAGTTGCTGTTTTTGAAAAAAGACATTGCTAAGTATAAACTTAAAAATGAAGTTTAAATATATCAGTGTTCAATATGGAGCATGTTTACAACAAGATTCTAATATTAAAAAAAAAGTATGTGCTTCTCCCAATGCAGTCACATCATGTTATTATATAAACATACCTATAAATTAGAAAGATAAGCTATTAAGAATAAATTATTCTATAACACTTAGGATGATATTCTTGAGAACATTTATCTGTGGACTATTTATGTGTTGTCTTATACTCAAAAAATATATATATATAGCTTCTTTAAAAGGCAATGTAAATACAGACAAATATATACTTTTAAGATTTCCAACCTTGTTGTTTCAAGAATTAGAGATGTGTAAATACAGGTTGCCTCATCAAATATAGTGAATTTTATAATGAGTTTAACTAATTTAAATGCAATTATACATGCTAACAGCTCAAAGATTTAAATTTTCATTTTCAGGAATCTTCTATTTGGTTAGTGCCACCCTACCATCCAGACACTGTTTAGTAAACTTTTGAAACTTACTAAAAGAGGTTTTTAATAATGGTTAGTATCCTTGTGCCTTTCTTTTTTCTTTTTGTAGTCTGTTATATTAATGTGAAGAAACTTTTTTGTTGTTGTTTTCACCCTAATAAACTTAACCTTATTTAATGACACAATTTGTCTGTTTCTATCCCAAAGAAGTGATTTGAAAAGCATGGTAGTTTTCTTTCTCATCTTTCCTTCCTCCCTCAGTCTTTCCCTTCCTCCTTTCCTTCCTTCCTCCTGCCCTTCTTTCCTTCATTTTCTTCCTTCTCTCCTTTCTGCCTGCCTGCCTTCCTTCCTTCCCCCCCTCTCTTGCTCTTTCTCATTCTTTCTTTTTCCCCTTCTCCCTCCTCTTCCTCATCTCCCTTCTTCTTCATTATAACACAGGAAACTCCTATTAAGTGCACCTGAGTTTTTCAAAACTTTATTTCATAGTTCAGTAAAAACACATTAAAAAATTTAGATCTTGATATGAAGAAAGACAATTTGTCTCTATCAAAAGACAAGTAAGAACTTTAAAAATCAGACATAGTAAGTTTTTGATAACATTAAACACAGAGAAACTGTATTTCACAATCATCTCTATAGTTTCAACTTTAGATTCTGACATAGGTCAAGACATGGAATTTATAACCTAAAGCTTAAAAAAAAAAAGAATATGAATGTGTTTGCCCTAGTGTTATAAGTGAATGGTACTTTATGGTTATCAGTAAATTTTTCAACTTTGTCATGTTGATTCCAAACTTTCACTCAAATCTGAATAAAGGTTTTCACAGTTTTGTGAAGGAGTAGAAATGTTATATAAGCGAGAAGAGAATCTATTGCCTCACAGCGACTTTATTAGAACTTAGGATTTTTTTAGGTAAATTTACATTGATGGATCAAAAAAGAACTGGCAAAATTCAGCTTTTTCAGAGAAAAAATAATTAACAAAAATGATAACTTGACATTATATAATCAAGGTTACTGATTGCTTAAAGTTTGCTTGATTAAAATGTTCACTTTCTAATAGCTTTGTAAAATAGAGAAAGTCTAAAACAGCAATGGTGGGGTTACATTATTATAATTTGCAGAGTTTCTAAATTTGTAAATATAATTAACTTAAGATAATTGTAAATTAGAGATAAAAGTATTGTGATCTTTGGGAAAGGTTTTTCACCTACATTTTATATTAATCAGCATTAAAAATTTTAAATTACATAAAATTGCTTTAAATAAGTTTCATATGTCTTTATTTGTAGTTTGAAGTATAGGATACTAAATACACTTCTTAATACTAGAAATAAAATTGAATCCTTTCATAGTTGAATGGGTATGTACCTTTATAAGGTATTTTTTCCTAAGAACATGAGTTGTTTACACCACTTCTTACTATGGACAAAACAGTTAATTAATGGCTTCATTTTATTATTTTTTGAAACTAGTATAAACAAAATGTCAAAAAATTGAGTTTGCCAAAGAAGGTGTTATAAATTATTTAATATTTGAGAATTTATTTGTTTTATGTGAAGGCTTATTTCAAACAACTCAACGTTATTCACATCCTATAACATTTTAGAGTGTCAATGGCATCAGGTTCTAACCTTGGTACATTATCTAATCAATTCTTCTGTTAAATGTTTCAACAGAGAACCAAGACTAAGTTACCTCAAGACTATGTATTCCTCCCTCTTTTGGAGTCAGATTTTTCCATTTCTACAGTGTTGTCATCATCACCATCTTCATCATCATTCTCATCATGCTCTTAATAAGTACATCCAATAGTAGGTATTAAGCTACAAGAAACACTGTGTCCATATACTGGCTGTCAGGTGTCATACAGATCCTTTAATAGAAATAGAATTCATGAACTTCAGAACTGTATAACTTAACACATAATAAACAATGCATAGCAAGAAATCTGTAGTTACTGGGGAATTCACATGTGACGTTTAATCATCTCCCACTACAAGTACTAATAAATTAATATATTTTACTATTTTAATGTTATTAAACAAAGTTCTGTCAAATTAACTAGATCACTTGTAGACAATGCTTTTTACTAAGCTTCTGAAAAAAAGACTTTTAAGCAATTAAATTAGGAATATTGTTAAATAAGAATTAAAATGTTAGGGTCATATATAGTTATGGTTAATTCAGTCAACGTTTAAAGAACACGTGTATACAGACAGTGCCATGAGAACTTGATCTCTGCTCTTTACAGTTCAGTGAGAGGGATACATAGACGACCTAGAGGCCAGATAAACATGAGCATGAGTGAAAAATACTAAAGGGACAAGCTAAATTGAGTGAGAATAACGAGCCTGGTCAATTGGAAAGTGATTCCTGAATAAGTCAAAATCTGAGTCATGTCCTGCAGGAAGGGATAAAGCTGGATTGATAAGAAGGAGGAAAGAACTCAGCAGAGTATCTGAGCAGGGAGAAGCAAAAGAGAAAAACCTCGGAGGTCCAAGCAGAGAAGGGTATGTGTAGAGAAGAAAGAAAAGGTTTAGGGGAATGGGTAGAACTGACTCAGAGAGGTCATTATGGGGAAAAAAAGGGGATCTGGATTTCATGTTTCTTAGATGAGAAAATACCGTTAATAACTGATGTTTATACCAATAGATTTCTCTGGTAATTGTAAGCCTTTCAGAAAGTAATAGCCTAGATACGGAGTTCAGAAGATCACTAACGAAACTATTCAGGAACGCACACACACACACACAAAATCCATATAGCTGGGAGTGGACAAGAAGGTATTAGGGCAGAGTCAAAAAATCACAGAATTGGGTATCAGGGTATCTTGCTGGAGTTGCAGGTGTGAGCTGCAGAAAGTGAGTTGCCCTCTCTCTGAATCAGTTTGCTCTGTCATACTTTAATTCAGTATTAAAGTATCACAAAAGATGATGTATGCAAAGTTTTTTTAAAAAATATAAGGCACATATATTGTATTACATATTTTTATCCTGTATTATTTTGGAATTACCCTAAGTTGATAAACAACAAAGGAGCAACACCGAAAGCAAAAAAATAAATCTTCACATGCATATTTGATTAGGTTTATCTCATTATGTTTTCATCTCACTTTTTGGAATTGTATAAATTTTTCATACTCGTCCACATTTTTGGTTGTTGTCCATGTTTTTGGTTCTTGCACAGAAAAAGCCTAAGTCTTAGTACCTCTGAATGCCAACACCAATAAGAAACTGGTTCAGGAATCTGCTTTATATGTAACTAACACAGGTGTATCTCAATTAGCTGGGGACAAACAAATTTCTGTTTCATGTTTTTGACTATATAATAGGAATTTGTGGAGCATGTAATAATGAGCCCTAGTTATGCAGAATTTCTAGCAAATCTACTGCCAATGCAATGGGGATTTAAAAAATACACATTTATAGGGTGGTTTTTCCTTCACGAAATAAATTCTTTACCAACTCACAGTTACAAGCTGATGATGGCAAAAAAAGTTAGTATTTGTGCATGGATTCTTAATGTGCTACAATTTGTCATTTCGTGATGAACTCATATGTGTTTGTAATCATCACCAACAGTTTTAGAGGCATAATCACAAAAAGACATTATGAATACCAGAAATTATTTTCCATATTTTTATGTCTAAATGTTTGAGTATGATTTTCATTCTGTTTTGAGATGCACAATGAAGAGTCCATGTTTAAAGAACATTTTCCTGTCTCATGTTGTGATCTAGAAACTAGTGCATTTTTTCTAATTTTTTTAAATAGCAAGAATGGATTTCTGGTAACTGATTTGTGTATATGTGCTTGGATTTAAATTTTAAGGTAGATGTATATCTTACACTGTTAATCAATTTTATATCTGAAAATCTTATTCAACATAATGTGTAATGTATGCATTCCTAGTTGGCAGTTCATTTCACTATCAAGTGGAGATTTTCTTTAAACTTGCCCACTTTGATAAAATATTTTAATTATCATGTTTTATGTATTAAAAGTGTAACAATTTGTTGTAACCTTCATAATGAAATTTTTCAAAATTTCAAGGCTGCTATGTTGACTAGTCTGTTGAGAATGATTTTAATATTGCTTTAGGACTGTTGCAGTTGACCTGTTTTGTAATACCCTGTTTTCTGTGTTATTCTGTAGAGGTCCTTCTGTAGCGCCATGGTAGAGGAACTGAGGATGTCCCTGAAGTGCCAGCGTCGGTTAAAACACAAGCCACAGGCCCCAGTTATTGTGAAAACAGAAGAAGTTATCAACATGCACACATTTAACGACAGAAGGTTGCCAGGTAAAGAAACCATGGCATAAAGCTGGGAGACCAAACACCCAAGCACAAACTGTCGTCTTTTTTCCAAACAATTTAGCGAGAATGTTTCCTGTGGAAATATGCAACCTGTGCAAAATAAAATGAGTTACCTCATGCCGCTGTGTCTATGAACTAGAGACTCTGTGATCTAAGCAGTTGCAATGATCAGACTTGATTTCCAAGCATCATGGATCAACCAAGTTACACGGGGTTACACTGTTTATCATGGGTTCCTCCCTTCTTCTGAGTGAATGTTACATACGCATTTTGTGGCTGGTTTCAAATGCAGTCCAGTAAGAAATTACAGGTTCCTTTTGAAGTCCAACTGTTGCCAGGAGATGGAATATCAATGCCCCAAGGGTAACCAGTAAAAAAAATCATTAAGAATAAAAATACCTGGAATCAGCAAAAACTGTAGTGTTACAAGAAACAGTACAGTCTTCTGAACACCCAGATAAGAGGGTGGTGATGTTACTGGCCCCCAGCTACTCAGTATAATGATCATCTGAATAAATGATACGTCTTTATAGGATGTGAAAAAAATGTAATGCAAGACAAATCTGAATTTCATGGCAAGTGGAATATAAAGCAGATCTTCATCAGTGTTTTTCTTTCTTTTCTTTCTTTCTTTTTTTCTTTTTTTTGACAGTCTGTGTCACTGATTGAGATAGAAGTGTCAGTTACCAAGGCAATAATGTTTTTTCTTATATTCACCACGGCAGGAGATGTAACATGTAACTCTACCAAATTCCTACCCATTCCCCTGACATTTCCCCAACCCCACACCAAGAATAAGAAAGCAACAGTTGGTTCCAAGATTCTGAATTAAAAAGGATGATGTTTTGCAATCTTTGTCTGAAGTTGTAAAAGAGGGCTGAGTATTGATAGTTATGTGGAAGACTGAAACTTTCATTCTAACATCCAGATATGTTAATCTAAACCCTCCTTTTCCTGCTATAAATGAACTCAGTGGAGCCTGGGCAGATCTCAGTGAATGGAGAAAGGGGACTGGTCATCTATAGAAAAGTATGTGTGGCGAACTTTGAAGTGGACTGCATTTATCAATACAGTCACAATGTTAAATGAACAAAATTCTTGAGCAGTTTTTTTTCAAAAAAATGTTCAGGTTTATTTGTGGAAATGCAAGATTTCTATGAAAATAGTTTTTGTATGGAAATTTTTGTAATACTTTTTATCAACAAAATAAGAACATGTGTTCCTGTCGGGGGTGTGATGTCAAGCATGAATGGTAGTGCGTGTGCACCACCAACGTTTGGTGAAAACTATTTTTATCAAGAAAAAAAGGAATCATAGAAGAGAAATATTTTCAAGTTAGATAATATAAAAGCTAGGTGCACTACCACCACTGCTTACCATGCCACACCCCTGGTTTCCACGAGGCTGATAACATACTGTAATGAACAATTGTGTGTAAAATGGTAAAGACACAGACCTCTTGACAACATTGTGATAACAGTTGAGTGCACACAGTTTGCTGTTTGAATCCAATGCACAAAACTTAAAAAAATCATTAAAATTATGTCCATTTTACTTTCAGCTTTGACTTTCATTTTTCTCTTGTATGTGTAAATGAACACACGTGATGCTCTTTGTGTTAAGGGAAGCACACTTCCTGAATACTTCTGGGTCATCAAGGATGGCCGCTTCGCAACTACGGAGGACGGATGAAAAAAGCTCGGGCAATGAGCTACTCAGATGTACGAAAAGCTGAACTGGGATATAAAATGTCATCTTCAGGCTTAGGGCAGTTTAAATGAGAAAAATAGCTGTTCTCGGGGCTATATAGGCAGTATGACCTTCCCTTTTTTGTGAGTGAACAGAGACCACGTTCATAGGATTGTGTAAGACTGTATAGTGATTACTGATATTATATTTCAAGTTCAATGCATGTCTAATTTAAGAATTCATTGTGCATTTGATTGATAATTTAATGTAATTTAGCAAAAGAAGAGGAAGAGAGCTAAGTATCCACAAGTTAAAAAAACTATTTTAACTAGAACTCCTGACCCTCCCCCCAAAAAAAACCCTCTGTGAAATATTTCTTTAAACTTATAAAAGTTACATAATCAAATTGCTAGTATCTATTAAATTAAAAATTAAATGCACAAATGTTTTCAAAATTTCTAGTGTCTAGGGTTATTTTCAATTAAATTTCATATTTCAAGGATAATTCTGTCCCCAAATTTAATTTTAGGGAGTATACAAGTCATTGTTACAAATCTTA